TTTTCAGATCCTCTGGTTATTTTTTAATTGGATTGTTTGTGGGTTTTCTTTTTTTTTTAATGTTGAGTTTTATGAGTTCCTTATATATTTTGTATTATTAACCCTTTATTAGATATATTATTTGCAAATATCTTCTCCCATTTAGTAAGTGGCCTTTTCCTTCTGATGACAGTTTCTTCTGCTGTGCAAAAAGCTTTCCACTTTGATGTGGTCCCATTTATTTTTGCTTGTTTTCCTTGAGACATATTCAAAAAAATATTACTAAAACTAATACCAGAGTACTGCCTCTTCTAGAAGTTCTATGGTTTTATGTGTTTGTTTTTTATGCCAATACTATAATGTTTTGATAACTACAGCTTTATAACATATCTTTTTTGGTAGAATTCTTCAGTGAAGCCTTCTAGGAATTTCTTTATGTAAACTACAAATTCAGAGTCTTTAATACACATAGGGAATTTCTGGTTAGCTCCAGTATATAAAAAGCTTGAAAGCTGTCACTCCCACACTTAGGCTAATAAAATTCTAAAAGTGAAAATCAGTATTTTTCTCACCCTTATTAGAAAAACTGAGGTCTAAGGACAAATTATCATCCTGAAATCTGGAGAGACGAGTGAATCCAGAGAGTCACAGCTGAGACTTGCTTACATAGAGCAAAAGCTGGTGGAACCATAAACTGGTAGGGACACTTAGATGCTAATTTTGACAAACTCCTCGAGTCTGAGTATGGAACAGCATAAAAGTAAGAAATTCCTAAGACTAGGAATTGTGGTATTGGCATAAAAAAGTCTTAACAGCCCCACACTTTTGAGGGCTTTACCTCCAGGAACTCCACCAAATTCTCAGTGAAGAGCCCTCTATGGCTTTGGCAGGGAAAGAGTTAGGATAATCATACTACAATATGCCCAGAGTGTTCTCCATAACAAAGGCCTACTCTCCAGGGGAAAAACCAACCAACCAAACAAAATAGTACAAGAGCTTTATCCCACCTGGAAGAAGGGCATTTCTCCCACTCCAGCCCTACCTAGCCTTCCTATCTCACCTAAGGGGAGGAAAAGTGCTAAGAGACATTAAGGGATGTAGGCTCACCAAAAAACAGATTTAGTCTTAAGATAATAGGACATCTTCTCTTCCACACCAACCTTACTGTCAACCAACAGGGCTCCAATATAAAAACAGTGGATTACAGTTCAAAGAGCTGGAAGACATGGGCTTTCTTTGAGAAGGAGCACATGGGAAAGTCCAAAGTCAAGAGGGGAGACAAAAGCAAGGGCACTAGAAGGATCTGAAGCCTCTGGTACTTAGAACTGCAGCAAACTTTAAATATAGTCCAACTCTTGCTCAGACTGACGCAAAACTTATATTAAAGGCCTATTTACTTCAGTTACTATTACCCAATACATATGTCCAGCTTTCAATCAGTAATTACAGGCACATTATGAGGCAAGAAAATACACAGTCTATAGAGATATAGGGATATTCAGATTTTCTAGTCCTTCTTAAGTTTTTATTTAATTAAAAATTTTTTTTTTCTTTAAATTTTGTCTGCACAAGCTCTTCCTTGAGGCATGAGGACTTTCTCTAGTTGCAGAGCATGGCCTCAAGAGTATGCAGACTCAGTAGTTGTGGAAGGCAGGCTTAGATGCCCCGAGGCACATGGGATCTTAGTTCCCCAACCAGGGATCAAACCCAAGCCCCTGTATTGAAAGGTGGATTCCCAACCACTGGACCACCAGGGAAGTCCCTTGAGTGAGCTTTATTAAAATGGAATTTGTCTACTTCATTTAAAATTTTAATTTATTGCCTTTAAATTCTTCATAATATTCCCTTTTTATTTAATAATGTAGATGCTGTGGCGACATCTTCACTTATTACTGATATTCATATTTTGTACCCTCTCTTTTCTCCTTATCAATCTGGACACAGTTTTACCAAACATATTGATTTTCTCAAAGAACCAGATTTTCATTTTATTGATTTCTCCACTGTTTTTCTGCTTTTTATCTGACTTATGCTTTTCTTGTATGCTCTTCTCTTCTGACCTCCTTTCTTCTTATTTTAGCTTTAGTTTGCTCCCCTGCCTCTAAAAACTTTTTTTCCAGCCACACCTCTTGGCATGTGGGATCTTAGTTCCCTGACCAATGATCAAACCCACGCTCCCTGCATTGGAAGTGCAGAGACTTAACCACTGGACTGCCAGGGAAGTCCCTCCTCTGTTTCTAAAGTAAAAGTTTAAGTTCTTGTTTTTAAACATTTTAACTGATCTAATATAACATTTGATGCTGAAAATGTCCCACAGCATTCTCTCCTCAGGGACTCTACTTTGGCAATTATCCCCTCCACTACATCAATTTTTCCCTTTCCACTGAATCACCCCCATCTTCTTACAAACATGCTGTTACAGTACAATATTATAGGGAAAAAAAAAAAAACCAGAAGAATGCCCTCTCCTATTCCCACATCCTTCTCGGGCTATCATCCAATTCCCCTATTATAATTATATGGTTATCTGTATTCTACATGCTGTGGCTACTTCCTTATCTCCTAATCTCTATAATCCACTCTGTTTAGGTATTCACCCCTACACTGAAATTACTTTGATCAAAGTCACCAGAAAATTTCATCTCTCCATATGCAAAGATCAATTCTATTGTTAGAATTCTCGTGTTAGTCATTGCTCAGCAGCATCTGACATACATCCCCCTAGCTCCCAGGCCACCATGCCCTCCTGGTTTTTCTTCTTTCCTCAGTGATCACCCCACCTCTACCTGTCAATTGGAGAGCACCCAGAGTTCAGCCCACAGTCCCACCTTTTCCTTTGATATACATCCATGACCCAGGTACCCTTCTTCATGTCTAAAACTTTAAGTATCATCTTATATATTCAAGCTATTCTATCTCATTTCCTAATTTGTAGTGCATTTTGTAGCTGCCTTATATATTCTCTAAAAACAGTGATCCTCACCATCTTGTTCTTTTCTACCCTTTTAAAGTCTCTCTCTCTTACACACACCCACACAATAAAGTATCTGATACAATGTTCTGTGCATGGTGAGCCATGATTAAACACTGTAAATTCCATCTCTAATTTTGCTCAAGCACAGAAAATATGTATAGATTCACTATTAGGTAGAAGCAGGATTTACAGCGACCCACACTTAAGCAACAGGTCAGTCAGTCAGTTCAGTCACTCACAACGAGTACCACCAGCTAATTACTAAATGTTAAAGCCAGGGCTCATAATCTATTGTCATCCCCTTAGAATGCATCAAATCCCCAATTCTTCTACTGAGGCTGAGACCATAAGCCTGGAGCGGTTCCTTCACTCAGCATTTTCAATGAGGCAAAGGTAAAACATGTAGTTCTTTCCATTGGACGTTTCTTATGTGTTGAGGCTGGTCACAGGAAATCCCTGTTTCAACCAAATATCAAACAAATCATAATTAAACTAGAGCCACAATTTCAGTGCAGAAGGAACAGAGAAATTGCACATGAATCTGGGCCATTATCTGAGGAGAGCCTACCTTTTCTCTTACAAGTTATGTTTTTGTTACTTTTAAAAAAATTATTTATGTATTTATTTAGCTGCGTCGGGTGTTAGTTACGGCACTTGAGATCTTCACTGCAGCATGTGGGAGCTTTCCTTACAGGGCACAGGATCTTTGGTTGTGACGCAAAGGCACTTCCAGGCAGCACGTGGTCTTCTCTAGTTGCAGTGCTCAGGCTCAGCAGTTGCAGCAGGCAGACTTAGTTGCTCCATGGCATGTGGGATCTTAGTTCCCCGACCAGGGATCAATGCATCTCTTTAATGCATCAAATCCCCAATTCTTCTACTGAGGCTGAGACCATAAGCCTGGAGCGGTTCCTTCACTCAGCATTTTCAATGAGGCAAAGGTAAAACACGTAGTTCTTTCCACTGGACATTTCTTATGTGTTGAGGCTGGTCACAGGGAAATCCCTGTTTCAACCAAATATCAAACAAATCATAGTTAAACTAGAGCCACAATTTCAGTGCAGAAGGAACAGAGAAATTGCACATGAATCTGGGCTATTATCTGAGGAGAGCCTACCTTTTCTCTTACAAGTTATGTTTTTGTTACTTTTTAAAAAATTATTTATGTATTTATTTAGCTGCGTCGGGTGTTAGTTACGGCACTTGAGATCTTCGCTGCAGAATGTGGGAGCTTTCCTTACAGGGCACAGGATCTTTGGTTGTGACGCAAAGGCACTTCCAGGCAGCACGTGGTCTTCTCTAGCTGCAGTGCTCAGGCTCAGCAGTTGCAGCAGGCAGACTTAGTTGCTCCATGGCATGTGGGATCTTAGTTCCCCGACCAGGGATCAATGCATCTCTTGCATTGGAAAGCAGACTCTTAACCACTGGATCACCAGGGAAGTGAGACCAGAATCCATGGTTTCTGAGGATACTTCACCAAATAATACAGTTAACACAAATGTGGAGCAGCCTCATTTTAAACCAGTATCAGGACACATCACATGCTATGGAGTTTCAGGCCCGCCCTAACAACTCTGTGTAACCTGTCTGATGGTGGAGGCCAAGCTCAGCTCTTTAGCCACACTGACTTCACACCAAGGGAAGGAAAAACAAAAATGACTCTACAGGCTGCTCAGGGTCACTGGTAGAAACTAAATTATACTATCCTGGTCAACCAACTGTCATCTTTAGCCAGGATTCCATGATGGTTTATAAATCTACTATTTCACAATTTCTTAGGAGACTTTTTCAAGGGCATTCAGGACCTTCGAAAATTCTCCTCCACTAGGTTTATGACATCTCAAGGAATTTGCCTGCACCAAGCTGCTTCTGAACAAACAGAAATGAAATCAGCCTTTTGAATTTTAAATCAGAAAACAAAGATTTCTCTTTGAAAAGAATTTCAGAGTTGACCAGTTACAAACAACATACAGTCAAATTTTATAAGAGGGAAAAATTATAGTAACAGATATTGAAGGATACACTACTCCAAAGAAGAGGAAACATGAGAAACAAGTCATGACAATATTTTTATTGTTTACTGAAAAATACAGGTCTGGAAAGAGTCTATTGCATTGTGCGCTGAACGTAAGGGTCTGATACTGCAAGTATCCATGACATAACAGTATAACTTATATAAAATGATACATATTGTACACAGAGACAGTGCCCAGCCCTCTAAACACTAAAATTTAATGGGATGAAGCAAAGTCTTTTATTAAATGAGAAATGTAAACACTGCAATCATATACAAAGTGCTCTAAGAGAAGAACTCTGAAACTGTGTTGTTGTGACATCTGTCTACCTGGAGTTAGGAATGGTTGGGCCTTAGGAAAACTAAGTCAACAAAAAGCTGACACTCTCAAGAAGGTCTTCCCAGGGAGCCAGCTGCTGACACCTGAGACAGGCTGCCATCCCGGCTTCTCTGGAGCCCTCAGGCCCACTCTGACCATTAATCCATGTCTTAGGGCTAGTGTGAGGCCAGCGGGAAGAGGATCAGGTAAGAAGACACTTCTGTCATGACTGCTTGTCCTACACCAACTCTATGCAATAAGAACACCTAGCATTTTTGACCCGTAACTGCCACTCCCAGCAAAAAATGAAATGTGCTTGAGAAGAAAAACATTAATGCTGGGAACAAAAGCCATCTTCTATACAATCTGCAGATACCATTCATTCCTTTCAGCCATGTTTTCACTAAGCTCGCAAAGAGGTTGCTACTACTCTCTTGCCAGTCACACAGGCCACGATCAAGGGTAACAAAATGTCTCCAGCTACAACCACTAACTCAAATGAGTTAAAAAAAAAATTTATTAGAGAACCATAATCGATCTCAATGATTCACACGGCAACAGAGTCAAGCGCTGCAACAACATTCACATTCCACGGTCAACTTTAACTACAGCCTCACTTCCCTCCAAACTGAGAAAGCCCCGTGTGGGGGAGAACATACAAGATTTCCACCATCACCTCCTCCCCAAACACTATTAGGGCTCAGAAAGTTCCTTAGAGGTAACAAATGCAAAAAAAGAGAAAGGATAAAAAGAAAGCACACCTCAATATAGACACACAACAGAAGACTACTCTCCCTCTGGGCTTCCTTGGCATCAGGCATAGCAAGGCTATTTGCAATAACAGTGCCTAAGCTGACTATGGCAACACTCACAAGAGAAATAAGGAGTTACAAAGTTCCTTTATTCTTAGGTAATCACGGATTACTAAATAATTTCCTGAATTAAAATGACAGTCTCACCATCAAAGAAAATTTTCTTCCTGCCTGAGATGCTTTTATAAATGAGATTTCACAATATCCCAGAGTCTTAATATTGAACTACTAATGCACAGAAGGCATCCTCAGAGCTCAAGTATGAGCAATATCAATATTCTCAGAGATTTCTACACTTTAAAGATCAGCAAATATTTGACCAGATTATCCATTCAAGAGATTTGTAAGTCAACCGTTATAACCAAGTGTATATTTTTCTTATCCTGTTCATCAAAGAACACCATCCTCCGATAGGAATGAAGCCCAGCTCAATGGGTATATAATTCCCTTCAACTCTGCACAGCACATTTCACTATTCAGTCCCTATGTCCTTGACTCTTCTATAACTCACCTAGTCTAAAGAATGTATAAAAGTGGAAAATTGCAAACCCCAGCAAAAACATTGGTGTCAGTGCTGAAATAAACGTTAGGGGAATAACTACAATTGCTTATGGAACCGTTTATAGTCTTGCCAGAAACCCTACTGCTCCTGAATCCCCAGATTGAAAAATTCAAATAATTTAAACATGAGAGGGGATTTCACTGATAAAGGTCTAGTTCATGTGTAAGGTTCTGGTTCTTAGAATGATGTGTGACTAACCCAAAATAGTGGCTCCATTTCCATTTTAAACATATCTCTTAAATTCTTGTCAAATTCTCCCATCTGTCACCTCACTGGTGAACCCTCTCATTTGCTGCTTCTATTTCTTTTGGCTGTTCTACTGCACATATGGGATTCACCGAGGTTCTCACTTTAATGCGTGCGGAATTTCCATTTCATACCAACAGCTCCCTAAAAGTCATCAACAGGGAACAATTTCTAGCTTAGTAAAGGCACAATTCCTCTTTACAGAGGAAACCAAAAAAGAGTCGTTTGGAAGCTGAACAAACATCTTAGATACTCCTATAAAAGGGAATGTTCTATCTGCCAACAAAACCCAGAGACATTTACAAGATCTAAAGATTACATGGACTATGTGAAAAGCATGAATTTGGAAAATTTAAGACATATTCCTAATGTTCCACTACACTACTTGGGGGGAATGTGCTAGTTAATATCACAGGAGCAAATGACAAGCGTCAACACCGCTCTACTGGCCTGTTCTCCTGCTTTTAGTAAACTGCTGCCAGCTCCAGTGAAGCCTGTCCCAGGGTACATCACTCAGCAACCTGCAGAGCTGCTCAGAGATAGGACAACCGGCTTCAGGTCAACTAGTCCAGCAGTGAGCACTCAGCTGGTAAACACTACCCCGGGGCAGAGCCCATGAAGAGCCTTAAGCCCAGGACTTACGAAAGTTGCATAAACATTCTTGGTTTTATATCATCTTCCCAGCAAGTTGGAAAACAATTGGGTTTTAGTTAAAGAAATGGAACCTATGCTCAAAAACAATGTAATGCTTCAAAAAAGCAAAATCAAGATTGGAAAGAGAGTAGAGAAAAATACAGTCTATTCGTCAATAGCTTACTTTGGCTAAATGATCATAGTGTCAGTGCAATGTATTATTGTAGTTTGAAGCACGGCCTCCCATGTTCTCATAAAATAGAGTACCAGTGAAGTACATGAAAACAGTTCACAGAGATGATAGCCCTTTAGCCTTCTGTGACTTCAGAACTTGAAAGACACAGGCTAACCAGGATTTATATTCAGATACTTACTCAGTGCAGGCTGAGTTAAGAGACAGCAAAACATCTGATTTTTATTCACCTACAGTGTGCTCAGAAGTTCCTATTTGGGCAGCGATGGTTCTCAACCAGGCTGCACATCGGTGTCATCTAGGAAGCTTTAAAGAATTACCAAGTGCCCAGACCAATTAAATCTGGAGATGGAGTCCAGAGATGAGCATTCTTTGTTTCCCCAGGAAGTTCTAACATGCACAGGCTGCACACAGCAGATGTATCCCTTTCAGAAGGCTGGTGCATGAAAGCCAAATTGTGTCTAGATAGTTTGGTTTCTTCTAAATTTCACCAGGAAAAGGGATGTTTAGAAAAAGGCACAGTTGTGCTTCCTCTAATGAGGCAGCTTACTGTTTGAGAAGTGCTGGTTCTTGGAGGTTATCTGGCACGCTGGTTGAAGAGGAGGAAGTCCTTGTCTTGGCAGAGCAGGCAGAGTTTCAGGCTTCGGCAGCTGCCTCCAGAAACAAAGAAGGCCCAGACGCCCGTGAGCACCATGATGATATATACCAACACCAGATTTAATCCATAATGAGGACTGATGAAGGTCTGCAGAGGGAAAACAAAAGGAACCTTATTAAGTATGTGGAATAACCTAAGACAATGGAAAATATGAAATACTTTCAATAGTGGAGGTGTGTTTCACCAAACATCTGATGTATGTCATGGGCCCACAGACAACACAGGAATTAACCTGGTCAACAGACATTAGCCCATAAACCTGTGCTTTGCTGTATTCAAAGGGCAACCCTAGAAGGTAATCAGAAGCCAGACCTAATGAAATACCCAATAGAAGATAAGATGTTATATAACCAGGGTCTAGTTTATAATCATTTTTAAGTTAACTGGCTCTGAGAATTAAGAAAGTGAGACAAGTCTATGTTGAAAGTGAAAGTGTTAGTTGCTCAGTTGTGTCCAGCTCTTTGTGACCGCATGGACTGCAGCCTGCCAGGCTCCTCTGTCCATGGAATTTTCCAGACAAGAATACTGGAGTGGACTGTCATCCCTTCTCCAGGGATCTTCCCGACCCAGGGATTGAACCTGGGTCTCCTGCACTGCAGGTGGATTCTTTACCATCTGAGCCACCCTCAGTAATCAAGGGAACAAGAGGGAACAGCATCTCTTTTTCAGCTGCACAACTGCTGAGGGTTCCAAAAGTTCATTTAAAAACCACTGATGAGGTACCATGAGGTACTAGTGGAGACCACAGCGTCTATCATAATGGAGCTTATAGCAGTAAGGGAGACAGGCAATGAATGAAGAAACAAATAACTAATCACAGGGACATCCTTGGTGGTCCAGTGGTTAAAATTCTGCCTTCTAATGCAGAGGACATGGGTTCGATCACTGATCAGGGAACTAAGATCTCACATGAGAGGGGACAACTAAGCCCACTCACCACAACTAGAGAGCCTGCACAGTGCAATGAAGACCCAGTGCAGTCAAAGTAATAAATAATACAAAAATAAATAATGACACATTGTGATAAATGCTAGGACAGAATAACTACAACTGAGATGGTGCTAGTAAAGGTTAAGAACAGTGATCTACTGAGGGTGGACAAAGAAAGCATTGAGAGAACGGCATTTAATCTGAGACTTACAAGAGGAGGTATGAGCCAGCTGGTTTAGGCTGAGGGAGGGAACCCAAAAAAGGCAAAGAGTTTGGTGCAGCTGAGGATCTGAGAATCGCTATAAAAGATGTGTAAGGATGGAGGGCAAGCACTGCGATAGGAGAGGAAGGCAGGGGCCAGATAGGCATGTTGGTGCTAAGTGTGGGTTTTATCCTCAGAACAGTGAAGGGGTGCAGAAGGGTTTTAGGTCAGGGAGCTGAACGATTTTAGATTTTTAAACTGCAGAGAATGGATTCAAGGAGGCTATGGTGAAAGCAGGGAGAATAGTTAAGAAGACTCCTCACTGAATGAGTAGAGTACAGGATGGTGGCTTAGTCCAGGGTGGTGGTGGTAGAGATGGAGAGAGTGGATGATAGGAAGTGACAGGACTCGACTTGCTGGTGGATAGAATGTGAGAAACAGAGAGCCCAGGAGTGACTTCCATGGTTCTGGCTTTAAGGAAATGGTGATGCTATTTAATGAGCTAGGCAAGACTTGAGGAAGACCAAGCTTAAAAAACTTGGGGAAAGACTAAGCTAGGAGTGATAGGTGGGAACCAAGTCCAAAGAGGACATGCTAAGAGTGGGATGGCTCTGAGATTTCAAAAGGCAGGTGCCAGGGGACTTCCCTGGTGGTCCAATGGTTAAGAGTCCATGCTTCCAATGCAAAGGCACAGGTTCAATCCCTGGTTGGGGAACTAAGATCCCAAATGCTGTGATGCATGGTCAAAAAAAAACCAAAAACAAACAGGTGTCAGGTAAGCCGTTAGGTTTATGAGTATGAGGCTCTGAGGAGAGTCCTGGGCTAGAAAGAGAAATACAGCACAGTCCATAAATGGTCTTAAAGTCACGGCTATGAATACGATTACCCACAGAGCTACTGTAGAGAGAAGGGAAAAGCGAAGTCAGGCTCCAGTCCTGAGAACAGTTATAAAGTATTTGTTCTGTTTAATATTGTAGGAGCAAATTAAAAGCCAACCAACATCACCCTACTGGTTTGACTCATACTGAAAAAGAGTTAGCAAAGGCAGCTGAGAAGAGCAAGCAGTGAGGTGAGAGGGAAGCAGGACAGCGTGATGCAGAAGTCAAAAGAGGAAATGTTTCAGAGAGGGGGTGGTCAATTCCTCCTAAAGGTTGCTGAGATGAAAAAAAAAAAAAAAACCAGCATCCTTTAGATATGGAGTGATGGAGGTCCTTTTTGATCTTGAAACATGCAGTCTTAGGAAAGTGGTTGGATAGAAGGCAGAATGCACTAGAAACACGACAGAAATTTCACTGTGATGCAGACTAGGGAAAAAAAGTCATGGCTAGAACGAGAACCAGCAATAATGAAGAGTCTTATTTACGATATGTCTAGGGACTTTACTGGTGGTTCCCAGTGGCTAAGACTGCACTCCCAAAGCAGGGGGCCTGGCTTCAATCCCTGGTCAGGGACCTAGATTCCACATGCTACAACCAAGACCTGGCAGCCAAACAAAACAAAAGCACGCCCAAAACCCAGATATGTCTATGTGCCGGTGAAGAGAGGGTGAGGCTGGTGATGTAGGACAGGAGGAGTAAGGTAGCAAAGAATTAGGTTTGGAGCCCAAACGGAGGGAGACTGGCCTTTGATAGAAGGAATACTGTCTCTGCTCGACCAGGATAAGGTGGAGAAATGGGTTCTTTTTAAGAAAGAAGAGGCTCTGATTGGGTCAGTTTGTCACCAGACACCTCTGCCAGCAAGGTTTCAGGGGGAGTGCTCCCCAGGCACCTGAGTCCTCACTCTCACCCTGCCCGCACAGTCCCCTGGGCTAAAGCAGGGGCCGCTTCCTACCAGCTCTGGCCAGGTAACAGGCTGATTTTGCAGACAGCACCTTATGCAGAAAGAGCACTTTTCTCAAGAAGCATCTGTGGGCATGGCAGGCACTCAGCATTTTCTCTTCAGATTCTCCTTCGGTTTCTTCTTAAGAATAATTCTATCCCTCAAATCTGCTGAGTAACATACTTCGTAGGGTGCTAAGCTACTTTCCATTTCTTTTTTAGTTTGTTTCTTTAATAACATTATCTCTTTTAAACAATTACAGAAACAATATGTGATTATTGTAGAAAATTAAAATGTACAAATGAATAAATCTTAAAACTTGAAATTCAGATAGGCTAATTTTTACACAACATTGAACATTAAGAGAATGTAAAGACAAACCACACTGTAGGAGAAGTTATTTATAATACAAATATCTAATAATGGAGAAGGAAATGGCAACCCACTCCACTATTCTTGCCTGGAGAATCCCATGGACAGAGGAGCCTGGCAGGCTACAGTCCATGGGGTCACGAAGAGTTGGACACGACTGAAGTGACTAGGCAGGCATATCTAATAAAAGCCTCTTTTAGAGAATACCAAAAAAGAACCTAAAAAAAAAAAAAGACAGACAACCCAGTAGAATGATGGATAAAAGATGTGAACAGGCACATCACAAGAGAATTATCCAAATGGCTGATAAACATAGGAAGACACACTCAACTTCATTCACCATCAGGAAAATGAAAATGAAAACCAAAATGTGATACCACTACACAACCAGTGCTAGATAAGGGTAACAATAAAGAAGTGCAATACTAAGTGTTGGTGAAGAGGTGGAGAAAATACAACTCATAAATTAATGGTGGGAGTATAAGTTAATACAACCTCTCTGAAAAAGTGAGTGTTAGGAACAATTGACATATGTATACCCCATGACAAGGAATTCTACCCCAGGTATATATCCAAAAGAAATGTGCAGACATTTTTACCAAGAGATATACGCTAGAATGTTCAAAGCAGTACTGTTTACAATGGTTAAAACCTGGAGATAGCATAAATGCCTCTCTGTTGTGGAATGGATAAATTATGGTATAGTTATACCATAGAACACTATTCTGCAAAGAAAAAGCAATCTATAGCTATAAACAAGTTAATTTCCCAAAGACTGAGTGAAAGGAGTCAGACACAAGAGCAAACACTGCACTGTTCTGTTTAAATAAATACCACAAGGCAGGGCAAGCTATCAAGTCAGAAGTCAGGACCGTGGTTATCCCTGGAGGGGTCGGGGGAGGCAGTGAAGTAGCACCAGGAAGCTCATGGGAGCAGAGGTTTTAGCTTTCATTTGGGTTCAAGTGACATTGGTGTGTTCACACTGGGAAAATTCATCAAGATGCATACACTGGACCTTGGTGGTCTAGTGGTTAAGACTCTGCACTTCCAATGCAGGGGGCGTGGGTTTGATCCGTGGTTGGGGAAATAAGATCCCACATGCTGCTCAGTGAAGCCAAAAGATTAGGAAAAAAGAAAAAGATGTACGCTTCTGATTTATATACTTTACTGTACATGTGCTATATTCATAAAACTTAAATGTTATCTGAAATCTGTCATTCAGAGACAACTATTGTTAACATTTTGGTATGTAATCTTTCAAATTTCCTGGGTTCTTTTCAATCATTAGAGAGAATAATATAAACTCTTCAATATTCAACAATAGTTACTGGCCATCTCCTATGTGCCAGGGTTTCAGGATACAAAGACTGACAAGATAAGATCCCATCCTTGATGATCAAACCCTAATTGGAGAAGTAGAGGTAAAGCTGTATCAAATAAAATAATGCTGGCCAGGGGGAAGGGTTATAACACAGCTATAAAAAAAAGGGCTAGGATAGTGCTTTCAGAAATGTGCACCTTTTCCAGGAAGGCCTCACATGAAATGAACAGTTTTCCAAACTGACCTAGGTTAGGGGCGAGACCCATCACTGCAGATATACCAGCATGAACAACCTGAGAGCCACACTGGGTCAGTTTAGATAAGAGTGTATGATATGAACCATGGGGAGCAGCAAGAGGTAAGTTTAGCACCAGTAAGATTCAGTAAGAGGCTTATGTCAAACAAAGAAGTGTGGGTTTTATCCCCCTGGCCTCTGCTACAACTCATCACTCTCCCGTCCTTAATCCACTTAGCTGCAGGACACCTGACTCCTGGCTCTCTTCCTACGTCACCAAGTTGCTCCTTCCCAGTCTCCATGGCTTGCTTCAGCTCTTGCCCCAACCTCAAGGTTGGAATGCCCCAGGGCTTAGTCCTCTGGCCTCTTCTCTTGTCTGCTTAGGTTCACTCCCTGCAAGGACCTTTTTAAGCTTGGCTGTCTCTCCCAAACTACACACTTTTTCATCCAAATACCCAACTGACCTCTCCCCTTGGATATCCAACAGGCACCTCCAAGGTACCAGGCCCAAAGAGGACTCCTGCTCTCCCTCACAAGCTTCTCCACCCCAGCTGATGGGAACTCCATCCTCTGAGTTGCCCAGGCTCAAAATCTGGAAGATGTCCTTGGCTCCTCTTTCTCTCCCTTGCCTTATCCAGTCTGTCAGGAAACAGCTGGTAGCTCTACTACCAGAAACATGTCCTGAATCTGAACACTTCTCACCGTCTCCACTGCTGTCTCACTCAAGTTGTCCCCATCCTTTTCTTAATTTCTTCCCCTGTTACAGTCTACTGTGAAAACAGCAGTCAAAGTGAGCCTTTTAAAATGTGATTCAAATCAAGTCCCTGTATTCAACACCCTACAATGAATCCATTTCACTAAGGGTAAAAGCCCAAGCCTCGCATTATCTAGATATGGTTCCCATTTCCAACCTATACTTCCATTCCCAATTTCAAATCTGTGACAGTATCTCCTACTAACTTCCCCCGGCTCATGGTTCTGGCCACTCTGGCTTCCACAAACATGCCAAGCATGTTCTTTAGTCTAAGGACTTTGCCACTAGCTGTTCAGTCTGTCATGTTCCTTCTCCAGAGAGCCACATCACCAACTTCACTTCTTTGCTTAAATGTACCTTCAAAATGAAGCCTACTTTTAACTACCTAGTTCGAAAATTCAATATCCCCAGCCCCTACAATCTAGAATCTTTTTTTTTTTTTTTTAAATTATTTATTTTGGCTGTACTGGGTCTTAGTTGTATCATGTGAGACCTAGTTCCCTGACCAGGAATCGAACCCAGGTCCCCTACATTAGGAGCATAGAGTCTTCCCCACTGGAACACCAGGGAAGTTCCTTGAACCCTTTGAACCCACTCTACTTTCCCTTTTTTCCCAAAGCACCAACCAATTTCTAACATATTTCATTTGATTATGTCTATTGCTATTGCTTATTGTCCCTCTCTCTCCACTAGATGGTAAAGGCAGAGTCTTGGTTTTTTTTCTGTAAATTGTTTTGCTCACCTAGAACAGTGCCTGGAACACAGACGGCACTCACTATTTGTCGAATGAATGAATGGTGGACTGGATCCATAAGAAGGACATTGGCTTTTTCTTGCAATTTCCTTTCTTAAAGTATACACACAGTAGAAACTTTGGAACGTGCTGAAAACCATAAAGAATAAAAGAACCCATCCAGAGATGAAAACTGTTAGTACTTTAGTGCATTCTCTCTTCAATTATTTTTCCATGAAGATTTGACTTTACATAGCTGCCATCATTAGAGAAAGAAATGGCAACCCACTCCAGTATTCTTGCCTGGAGAACCCCAGGGATGGAGGGGCCTGGTGGGCTGCCGTCTGTGGCGTCGCACAGAGTAGGACACGACTGAAGTGACTTAGCAGCAGCAGCAGCTGCTATGATATTAAAGGTAACTTTAGTATCATATTAAGGGAAACTTTAGCATGATGGAAACGTTTTAGGTAGGGAAGGCAAGAAGATTGTTCTTTAGATGGGTGAGAGAGCAGAGTCCAGTATGAGAAAACTTGATATGAACTCTAAATGGATGGAGAGGAGAGAAACATGAAGCAGGACACCATTAGAAGGAACTTTTCAATACTTTAGGTGAGAAATGATGAAGGTCTAGATGAAGCAATGGCTGGGATCATTCTGACGTAAGTATATGACAAGTTATGATTAAAGTCGGGCCAAAGCATTAAATAGTGCTTTAAAAATACACCTATCCTTTTCAACTTTCTTTGGAAAACTAGCATTTTAATACCAGTGAAGAGGGAGTAAGATGGGTACTCTTTGGGAGGGGGTTTCACATTTTTTTGGCCATGTGGCATGTGGGTAGGATCTTAGTTCCCTAACCAGGGATCAAACCTGGAAACTTGGAGTCTTAACCACTGGACGGCCAGGGACGTCCCAGGCACTCTTTACATTAATCAGAATGAGTAACAATAGTACAGCCCTTTTGGAGAGAATTTTAGCAATTTGCATCAAGGGCTTTAATATCTTTTTTTTTTTTTCCATCAAGGGCTTTAATATGCTAAAATATTTAAAAATATTCCACTTGACTTCATAACTCCATTCCTTAGAATCTGAACAATGTATTGAAAAAGTTTCATATACAATGATGTTCAAAACAGCTAATAACCAAAAGTAGAAAAACAAATGATCAATTAGTTAAGCAAACTATAATTTTATGTAAAGATATAAAAAGCTATTAAAATGTAAATATTAAAAGGATCCATAATAATGTAGAAATTGCTTAAAATGTGTTCCATAACATAAGCATAATGCAAGACTATTTCAGGTTTGACCAACTTAATTAAAAGAAAGACACTTAACAAAAAGAAATAGTTTATGATCAACCAACAAATTAAGTTATCTTTCTATAGTAAGACTTGGATGATTTATCTATCATTCATTCATTCTTTTAAATGACTTTTTCTGAATTTCCTCATTATCCCAAGAGAGCGTATTTCACTTAGAGTGGAATCTATCAGATGTGTGGACTTAAGCTCCAAAACCCAGTGTGAGCAAGGTAGCAATACTCACCAGGGCTGACACCAGCAGATGGGAGAGAACAACTACAAGAAGGGTGTACCACTTCTTCTTCGCACAGCCATCAAAAAACACGATGCCCCAGAACACGTGCAGCAGTGTGATCACCAGCGTCATGAAAGCTGGAAGACAGCCAACCATTAGTGCCCAGTCGCGAATCAGCAGACCCCAAAGGCCACTGAACACGTCCTTGGAGGCAGGCTCTTGGGGTGCACTGCACCACTGTGAGGGTTCACCCACAACTGACAGAGGACCCTGACACAACATTCGCTTGAACAGTAATTCTGAAAGCAACATTTCTGAACCAGGGGTCAGCTCTGCAGCAGCCTCTCACCTAGACTGTGAACCAGTGAAACAAAAAGTCAACCTGGATCTGGCTTTCAAGGAGTTTCTCTTAGGAACAAAATAAAATTTAATCAGTTTTTCCAAGCTGGCTTTCTGCACTAATCAAGAAACTTTTTTGGGGGCCACACAGCAAGGTATGTAGGATCTTAGTTCCCTGACCAGGGATTGAATCCATGCCCCTGCATTGGAAGCTCAGGGGGAGTCTGTACAATGGACATCCAGTGAGGCCCCCAAGAAACTTTTCTAAACTAAAACGAGTGTCTTTGATTTAAACAAGTCCTCTCATTAAAGTGGAATTTCTCCTTGGATCTTTTTTTAAGGCCAGTGGGAGAATAAAAATATTAGAAATTGCAATAATTATCTAAGATTCTTCTTAAGCAATGGAAACTGAATCCAATCAGTACACACAGGTTTTTCTATGGAATACTGTGTGTGTGCATACATGCATGTGTGTGTCCTGCATCCTGGACATTTTTTACTTAAAATGAGCAAGTTTCAGGAACTCCTTGGCCATCTAGTGGTTAGGACTCTGTGCTCTCACTGCCAAGGAATGGGGTTCGATCCCTGGTTGGAGAACTAAAATTCCACAAGCCACGAGGCATGGCCAAAAAAAAAAGAGAGAGAGAAAGCAAGTTCCACATTTTCTAAAAGCTTCAACATGGGGAGGGGGAAGGCACACAGATTTCTCATTTCCACCATTAACACCCATTATTCTGGCAAAAAGTCAAGTCTGACCATTCTCCTTCACACGGCTGGTAATTCTCCCTTGGCATCCGTGGAGGATAGGGTCTAGGAACCCCTACAGATACCAAGCTCTGCAGATGCTCAAGTCCCTTATATAAAATGGCATAATAACTGCATATAACCTATACACCAGCTTCCCTGGTGGCACAGATGGTAAAAAATCAGCCTGTAATGCAAGAGACCCGGGCTCAATCTGCGGGTCAAGAAGATCCCCTGGAGAAGGACATGGCAACCCACTCCAGTATTCTTGCCTGGAGAATCCCACGGACAGAGGAGCCTGGTGGACCACAACCATAAGGTCACAATGAATTGGACACGACTCAGTGACTAACGCACACACAATCCATGCACGGCACATCCTCCACCTCCACTGTTTACCTTAAATTATCTCTAGATTACCTACAATACCTAATATAATGCAAATGCTAGGAAAATAGTCATAAACATAGTGTAAACTCTATGTAAATAGTTACCAAGTCAGGCAAATACAAGCTTTGCTTTGGGGAATTTTCTGGAATTTCCCTTTCCTGAACATTTTTGATCTGTTTTTGGTTAAATCTGAATGCAAAACCCAAAGATATGGAGGGCTGGCTCTGAAGCAATATTCTGAAACAATTAGTTAGGTGTTTTTCTTTTTTTAATTTAATTTAACTTATTTATTTGTCTGCGATGAGTCTTAGTGTGGCATGCAGGATCTAGTTCCCTGACCAGGAATAGAACCTGGGCCCCCTGCATTGGGAGCGGTGATTCTTAGCCACTGGACCACCAGGGAAGTCCCAGCAGCTAGTTTTTGAATCAACAGACCACTAGCCTTTGAGCATTTGTAATAACAAAAAATGTCCATCATTACCAGAATGAATAAACTGTGGTGCATTTACACAATGGAATATTTACATGTTCTATAATATAAATGGTCTCTAGAAAATAATGTTGAGTGGGGGAAAAGCATATTGTGAGAAAATGCCCATATTTCAGTTATACAAAGGCAAAAAGCAAATTATTACAGAGACATAACTGTTGAGGTTGGAGGAAAGCAATTTGTTACATCTAGTGACAGTGTTTCAGCAAATAATGATAAATACTTTATAGGAGAAGGGGGATTTAAAAAAAAAAACTTTGGAACAATAGCAGACTAAAGGAAAATGATTTATTTTAATCCCACTGATGATCCTTGAAAGGGCAGTTTCCCTGAAGATAGATGCCTAGTTGTGTGACAATGTATAGAGTTCAGACAACTGAAAACACCCAGTAGTTCATGTTATGTCAGAAAAGACTAGAGTAGAAACTGTGATTCACAGACACAGATGTTCACACTCTAAGGCTTTTCTAAAGCCTACATGTCAATCAACTGTCAAGAGAAAGCAATTACACCACTAATGTGTCATCTGTTCATCAGCTATGTGAAAGGAAGATCAAAATGGAGTCACTATTGTTAACAGAACTCTCTAAATAGAGCTGGGAGGCCATTAAGGAAGTGTGACCGAGGCATAGCTTAGCTGAGATGGAATATGATATTTTTACCTGATGAAGTCATAAACCTGCCAGAAACTCAAGACACCTAAAATAACTCATGAGAGTCTACCCACTTAATGGACCACTATTCTAAAACAACATGTGATTCCTTAAGGACAAGTATTTTCTGACTTATGTAGATCACAATTCTTACCAGGCAACTTTTAACGACTTCATAGCCTTTTGTCTTTATAAGACTCTGACTCTATCTCTTCCGTGGAACTTTCTTTCAAGACTACCCATTCTTTTAAGACTACAAATCTGGGTCTTCCAACTTGCAATTCTTAAGACTCCAAAACACTCTTCTTATTTGCAGCCTCCTTCATTACCTGTTGTTTGACAGCTCTATTTGCCCTTTTCTCTATGCATTACCATGAATATTGAAACCAGCCAATCATCCTCCTATGGTCAAGTCTTACGAGTTCAGATACTTGGAAAATGCTCTTACTTATGGACTTTTTAGTTCATTCTCATCTAAAAGAGCATTACTCTGTTTCAGACAATCATTCTCAGGGGAAATCACTAGCCTTGAACTTTCTTCCAAATTCTAGGTGGGTATTTCTGTATGCAAGGCTCTTTCCTGATAAAAATTCTCTCTGATGGACTGACTCTGTCTCTAAAGTAAAGTCCAAGCATCTCAGGTTAGCATCCAAGGCCCTCTGCAACCTAGACCCAAACTACTATCCTCTACTCATCTTTAAATACATCCTACTTGGTAGGAAACCAGAACTCCTACTTATACTCTGTCTATGCCTCTATGTCTTCACTTTTTTAACTGTCCCTTTTGCCTGAATCCTCTACTCCTTACCACCACCCTGCCCTTTCCACCCCACCCAAATCTTACTTTTATGTAACACCTAGCTCAGTGCCATCCCCTTAATGAGTTCATCCTGATATCCACTTTTTTTTTACACTCCACACACATTTACTGAGCACCCAGAGAGTCTGACATGAGATGATGCCTATGGGCTCTAGATAAACATAGTCCTCAGCTGGAATCCTGGTTCTAACTCCTGGTTCTAATCTAACTCCTCTGAGTTTGTTTCCTTTATTTCTAAAATGCAAATAATGCCCCTGGTTGTTGTGTAGAGAAGATCAGTGCTTTGCAAACCGCAGTTTTTCAATAAATGACAACTACGATGTGCTATGGTGTCTAGATTCAAAGATGAATATAAGCCAGGACCTTCAATTTAGTGAGTTGCACTAACAGGTTAGAACGTGAAGCAAAGCAACAAGCAATTATCACACGTATCCAAGCTTCCTGGGTACCTGACTATGTTTTCAAATGTATTCTCAGACTGTCTCGGTGGTCCAGTGGTAAAGAACCTGCCTGCCAATGCAGGGGACATGTGTTTGACCCCTGGTCCAGGAAGATTCCACATGCCGTGGAGCAACTAAGTCCATGCGTGGCGGCTACTGAAGTCTGCACTCTAAAGCCTGCGCTCTGAAACAAGAGTGGCCACCACGACGAGAAGCCTGAGCACCACAGGAAGAGCAGCCCCCAGTCACCCCCGTTCGCTGCAACTAAAGAAAGCCCGGACACAGCAACAGACCCAGCACAGCCTAAAATAAACAAACAAATAAAACACTTTAAATATGCACTCGTTCACCCCTGCAGATTTCTTCTTCATCTGACACTGGAGTATTACTCTTATGTGTACTTTCTTTCCTCCTCTTTTATTAATCCATACAAAGATTCATTAGCACTCACTGTGGGCCAGGCTTGCCTGGTGACTCAAATGGTAAAGAATCTGCTTGCAATGCAGGAGACCTCGGTTCGATCCCTGGGCTGGGAAGACCCCCTGGATGAAGGAATGGCAACCACTCCAGTATTCTTGCCTGGAGAATCCCATGGACAGAGGAGACTGGAGGGCTACAGTCCACGGGGTCACAGAGAGTCAGACATGACTGAGCAACTAAGCACATGGCCGGGCGATAGGGCTATTCCAGAGAACAAAACACAGCCCCAAGGAACCTCCTTTTCAGAAAAGAAGCTCATCTTTTCAGTTTACTATGTTTTATTAACACAATACCTAAATGGGATCTCTCAGACATTTATTAAAACACTGTGTATTCCTATTTGACTGCTTATTTATTTAGCTAGCACTAGTTTCAAATCGGGAAAGGAGTACATCAAGGCTGTATATTGTCACCCTGCTTATTTAACTTATATGCAGGGTACCTCACTAGAAATGCTGAACTGGATGAAGCACAAGCTGGAATCAAGATTGCCAGGAGAAATATCAATAACCTCAGATACGCAGATGACATCACCCTTATGGCAGAAAGCGAAGAAGAACTAAAGAGCCTCTTGATCAAAGTGAAAAAGGAGAGTGAAAAAGTTGGCTTAAAGCTCAACATTCAGAAAACTAAGATTCAGAAAACCGAGAGTCCCTTGGACTGCAAGGAGATCCAACCAGTCCATCCCAAAAGGAGATCAGTCCTGGGTGTTCATTGGAAGGACTGATGTTGAAGCTGAAACTCTAATACTTTGCCCACCTGATGTGAAGAGCTGACTCAT